TTAAAGCACTACTACAGCGCCACCTACTGAAATGCGAGTTTCAAAAATGGCGCGTCAGTTATATATTGGCCAACCTGTATGTTCAATTTGAGGTCTCGTCTGGTATACGACCCAAATGACAATTTGATAATTTTAAGGCCTACCTAGAAACTTATGTTTTTCTGGAATAAGTATGGTTGGGCTATGTTAATGTATACATTTTTGAAATTGAATTAAACACTCTATTATCTGTGCAAAAATCCAATATGGCGTCCGTGAGAAAAAATAAAGTTGATGCTGGAGGACAAGAGACATATTATGAAATTCTAATTATGCCAATTTGTAGACGAGAAATAGTGGCAATTTTAATTTTCCATTTATTTTAAAACCTCACTACAAATAAAGTCAGGGAAAAAATAAAACGATCTTTGGAAAATTCTGTTTTTCTGACTCTTTCTGGAAGTACTTTGAATGTCGGAACTTTCTAAGCGGCATTTAGGTAAATACTCAACTTTGCCCCCATTTAAGCAACTTCATATCTCGTACCGTTTCCAAGATCGTAATGGCGAGGGTCGAATTTGAAACAGTCGGTATATAATCTCATGAGATTCCTCTCTTTGAAAATGACAGACCGACAGGCTGTCAAAGTTTTTATACATTGATTTGCTGATAAGAGCCGTTTTACACACAAGAGAATTACTCCGAAAATTATGGTCATAATTATGCCGAAAATTTGCATGGAAAAAATATTGAGGATTTTCTCTACAACCTGTATGACACAAGCAAACAAAATTTCGGAGTAATTCATGTGATACGCCTGCGCATTATAGTAATATTTTCGAATGGACATAACCTTAACGGGTATGACGTCCAATATAATCGGAAAGACAACAGACGTCGTTGATTTAAATTTATTTTTGAAATCGAGATCTTGGTTAATATTATAAAACTTCTCAATGCTTGGACTATCGCATCCAGCGCCTGACGCCGCAAATTGCTGTTTTTGTAATTGGGTGACCTCAACTTGTACAGGTTGGGCCAATTTTGGTACTCCTCCAACAACAGTGTAACTTCTTCCGGATTCCACGACATTATGAATAAACAACAATAAACGCTCCTTCGTACGAATCGAACAGGACCACACCCACAAATGTTAAGTGAGGTTATGTTGTTGACGTTGACACAGTGTTGCCAGAACGAAGTTTAAAATATCCGTCACACGTATCGCAAAATTCCGCTACATGCTGCTACGGTCTAAAAATTTAAGGGGGGGGGAGGCTTAAAATAAACAACAAATATATTTTTTACATATTTACTTTTTTTAAACACTGTCTAAAAACACTACTAAAAATACATACAGTAACATAATACAATTGCAATTTTTCGTAAAAACATAAAAAGTATACCTCTAAAAAAACAAAACTGTCTGGTTTAGAATTAGGAACTAATAAAAAAATAGAAACTATCACCAATATCTTAATCTTAATAGAAAAAAAAACAAACAAAAAATAAGGACAAAGAAGAAGCGGAAACGTGGAAATGCCTACGTTTGCTTATTTTATTCACAGTCAAAATCAGAAATTACTTCTTCTTCAGCTTGTTCTTCCTTATTTACATTATATAAATTCTTTTTATATTTGTTTAAATGATTCTCATTAAAACTATAGGATAAACAGCACTGTCTTTTTGATTCGAAGTCTAATTTAATTGTAAGTAGTGCAGACAAAGTTGATGGTATTATTTTATTTCTTTTTTTTGTGTTGTAATCAAGCATATAAGAAAAAGTTCACTCAACATCAGCGTTTCCATGAGGCAATGTTAAAATGATTAGAGCCATTAGTTTACCTATATTGCGAAATAAATATTCGTCATTGAAATTTTTGAGGTCGTTTACAAACGACCAAAATTCAATGACATTACTTTTTGTTTTTAAAATTCCCTCTTTCTCACTATCACTAAAATAAATACATATTTTCTTTAGTTCCAAAATTGCCTTTTCGGTTTCAATATGAAGGGCAAATTTTTTTAAAACGGCGTCATGAAAGGTATCACTTATAATAAGACGATTGTTCATCACATCAACCGGTGAGAGAAACTTTAGCTCTGAAAAGAAGTTGTCTTTAATAGGAAATCTTTTAAGGGACTCTTCTACCGATTTTTGGTAAAATGTGACACATTTTAATTTAAATTGTACGATTGCCGTGTTATTGCAGTGTTTTGTTGCATCCATTGTATGCGGACCAACATTCACTTGTTCAATTGGTAATAAGCAGTGGGGATTATTAGGATTTAGATTATATAATTTCTCATTTTTAAAATATTCTGGTCGCATAAAGTTTGTACATAGATGACGTACAAATCGCTCACTCTCTATTGATATGATATTGAGCATAACTTTCTCTGATTGAAAGAGAGCATTAAATTGGTTAAAAATGGGCAACACGAATTTAAAAAACATTAAATACGCCTTAACAAATGGATTCTGTAACTCATTAAGTATTACATTTGCTACAGGATTTTTATCTTCAATGGAAGCTAATCTAAATAGGCTAAGCAAGATGTCCCACTGATCCAAAACTCTATCAACACATTTGGATGAAGCAAGCCACCTTGTTTTACTAGGGCTTAAAATTTTTAATTTTGACTTTTTGAAATATTCCTGTAATTCTTCAAGAACACACTGCCTTTTTGGGCTTCTTGAGAAGTAAGAATATAAGTTTTGTAAAAGAGCTTCAACGTTGCTTGGAATCTTTTCAGCTGCCGCCACGGCCACTAAATGAGCAGAGTGGCAAATGCAGCCATTGACAATTATATTAGGATTATCTTTTAAAAGATAAGTTTTGAAAGATTCGTTATTGCCCATCATAACACTAGCGTTGTCGGAACAGTATCCAACAATATTTGTAATTTTTACTTGATTGGATATAACGCATTTTTTAAAAAGAGAATATAAACCTTTGGCGGTACCTTCATCTGCGTTTATTTTAATTATATCTAATAAATGGGTTTTGATTGAATTTTTATGAATATACCTTACAAGAATGCATAGTAGTCTTATATTGCTCAGGTCTGTACTCTCATCCAATAAAATAGAAAATGGTTTATTTTCCAATTCTGAAATTATTTCGTCTTTAATAACAGGAGCCAGCACATTTTTAATTATACTTATGCATTTGGATCTTTTTAATTTAAGTGAGCTAGAGAGATCTGGGTCTTTAAAACATAACTGACTAACTCCTGTTATATGATCAACAGTTCTAAAACTTATATAATGACTTACAACTAAAAGACTATATATCTTAAGCAAGCAAATATTTGCCGTTCTTCCAACTCACGTGCTTCCCGAGACTGAAAAGTGCTATCTAACGTTCTTACATTCGAAATTGCTTGTACATTAGTGGCATGCCTTTTTAATTTCGAATGATTCACTAAATCTGATTTTTTAGCACCCATTATTTGATTACAAGCTTTACATTTTGCTTTCAACTTGTCATTTTCAATAGGTCCCAACCAGCCTTTAAATAACGGATCTTCTAGCCATGATGAAGTAAACATTTGTTTTCGTGTCTTTTTCTTAACAGGTTGCTCTGGCTCTTGGTTATCCTGAGATTCGCAAGTCGAATTATCAGGCTCAGACCTGATTCCACTAGATTCCGCTCTTCTATTTTGTCTGTATTCAGGTTCGGGATGCTCCGAGTCCGACACAGATGCAGTCGAAGTGGATGGTACGGCCACGTTTGGTTTCACCGTTTGTTTTTTAGAAGGATTTTTATCAAAAAAATCGTTAATGGTCTGGTGTCGCCTTTCCATTATTCCTATTTTCCAGAAGAAAAAGCGTTAAAAACAAATTTCGCGACTAAGATTTATTTCTGGATCAAACTATAATATGTTAGATATTTAAGCAGTTTTGTTACTTACCAGTAGATTTTATATTAAAATCTGCAGCAAATGATATATCAATAAAATGATCAACACAAAAATAAGAACACTAATATAAACGAAACTAAACAATATATACCCAGAGCTGAAAAATACAATACAAAGCGAGAAACCTAATATTATGTCTGCCTGCTGAGACCTGTTAGAAACGATTAGTATTGAAAGCAGTACGTACGCCATCTGTTATTGAAAAAAAAGGCAAGTGGAATAATTATCTTCTCTGTTCCTAGATGGCTCAAGCGGCACCAAATGCACCAATTTTATTATTAATTTGATAATAAATCTCTCTAGCCACTGCCTATTTAGGATTTAGAACGTTATTAATGTTAAAACAGTGAAATAAATATGATAGTTTTGTATGTAATAAATTCCGCTACATTTTGGGCTAATTTGCTCTACCGCCGCTACGCCGCTCTTCTCAAAATAATCCGCTACAAATAGCGGAATTCCGCCACGCATGGCAGCACGGCGTTAACATTTGATATTGACATGCACGGAAATAATCCTCTGCGCCGATTCTCGCGCATATTCTATAGAACGGGTTTTACATTTTTACCATGAAAATTTTCACAAGAATTCTTTTACGTGTAATACGACAGCAAAAATTTTCGGCATAATTATGAACATAATTTTCGGAGTAATTCTCTTGTGTGTAAAGCGGCTCTTAACTCAACAAATAATCATACGCTATAGTATGTTACATATACTTTTTTCTCTTGAAAACATCTCTCTTAATATGTGATAAAATATGGAGCATTCTATTTAAAAGAAGTTGTGAAAAAGTGTCAATTGCTTCAACAAAATGCCCCACATTCACATAGTGAATTTTATATTCTGGATTAAAGTACTCATAGGGTGTTTCAAAATCAGGTGTCACACGAAACCCTATTTCAAGATGACGCTTAGCTGCCATATTGAAATTTTCAATTGCCATTTTCATTAAAATATAGTATTTATGCACCAATTACTTCACTCCAAATTTCAGTTTGCTTTTTTGACCCGTTCAAAAAGTTGATTTTCCGGCTTCAACGGAATCGAAGAAAAATGAAAGATTATTGCAGAAACATTTCAATTTATTTCAGGTTTACAGAGATGTTTCACCTGTCGATCCAGGGGTGAATTGGGGAGCTGTAAAGATCCATTCGTGGTAAATGTGACGATAGTTGAGGCAAAACAAGAAATTGGTGTTCAAACTGTTCCTTGCGCTTCTGGTTGGTGCGGAAAAATTGTCGAAACTGAAGATACTGCCAAAGAAGGTGAGAACCTTGGATTTTGTGTAAACACGTATTTTTCGCAACAAGCAGCCAGCGGCGAATAATATAAAGCTTGAGTTCGAAGTTGTAGGAAGTATAGTCAATCTACTTGACGCCATTTTTTTCATAGTCACCTCGCGGATGCCGTACAGTAAGAACTAACATGTCGCCTACAAGCGAAGTGGTTTGACAACAAAATCTCTGGAAAAGTTTCTCTAAGGTTGATGGTTTTCGAGTTAAAGCGTTAAAAGGCAAATTAAAATTATCATCAAAAATGTATCGACAAGTCCCCAATGGAATGAGACAGCGCAAAGTGTCATCTGCCAGCAAAATCGACCACTGCGGAACTGTTGAAGATCTCAGTCTTATTTCAATAGACTATACCTCCTGGAACTATGATGCTATGTTTTCGTTTGTTGTCCCTGTCACGGGAGACCAAGCCTAGACCATTCTGATGAATAGCCTAGAAGCATGAAACAGCTGTCCATGGTTGGCTGTCTTTAGTGTTTCGTTTTCCTCATTGGAAATTACAGATTATTTTAATTTAAAACACTAGCTTGCATTTCTTTTATCGCAGAAGTAGGACCAACATTTTGCTACAAACAAAAAGAGTCCAAAGTTCCAGCAAAATATGATGGATGTAATTTCGAACAAAATTTCATTTTTTTGAATTAACGATTTTTTGCAGAATATGGAGTAGCTACCCAAAGGATGTGTCTGCAAAGGGGACCTTCAGATAGCGAAGACCGTTGTGCTTACACCAAATGGAATTATCGCAGGGTACTGATGTGTTTCTGCAAAGGGGATCTGTGCAATTCGTCCAAGAAATTGGAAGCTAATTTTCTAGTTTGTATTATTAGTACAATACTGTTTCATAGTCTGATATGGTAGCATTGAAAATTTGGATGCGATGTAAAATCAGTCGATCATGGTTATCCAACAATTTGAAATGATTGACTTATTACAATTTAATTCGACAAACTTTCTCAAAAGTTAGTCCAAGACAAGTAAAATTTTGTATTCAGTGAGGTCATATTAGTTACGTCATTCTACATCATGAGTGATGTTCCTTAACTGTTCCAATCGAATAGCTCTTGTAAGGTGGAACAGGATTTATAAATAATATATGGAATATGATTTGATCGTTGATGTATCAAATTATTACTTATTTTGCTCAGCTATTCTTGTAATGTTAAAGATTATTTAAATAAATTATTTTTATAATATACCTTTTGTACTATTTTTTTTTGATGACTGGCATACAGTTTACCGTCATCGCACGGTAGTAGCGTGATAAGTGCCCATGAGACGGCGTGATGCAACTAGAAAGCGACCGAACATTTTCTGGTGAAACATGTTGGAAACGCGGTAGATTGCACGACCTTTTGCGTCACGGTTGCTAGGCAACGTGGTGATGACCTTCGCTCTTCAGCCGGCTTGTGTCTCTTTTTAACATGTGTTGATACACACTTTTCGCGCTTCTCTCTCGTACACATTGAACTCAAGCCGTCAGACAAATTTGGTTTTCGCTGTATACAGAGTGTTTCAGTTTATTGTTGCATGACTTTAAGATTCGATAGAACTGGTCGAAAAATGCGTGGCTTCCGAAACACAGAGTGTTTGAATTTACTTTCTAAAATAGTTTTTTTTAAATATTCCGAACAATATTTGATGTATAACAGTGAAAATTGGTATAGAAGGGTTTTTTGGTACGACAAAACGAACCAATAATTTTACTGTAGACGCTAGAGGGCGCTCTCTACTGTACCTGTAGTGTATTAAAATGACCGAAAATTTTTTGTTAGTGCAATTTTTTGCTTTTTGAATAAAAAAACTGATTCTTCGCACTTTTCAACATAAAAAATCTCTCCTGTGAGTTTTCGTTATAGTTAGCCGTTTTTGAGATATTTCGATTTTTAAGGTTCGATGCATGTTTAATTATTTATGGGAAAATAATATTTTTTTTTACATTTTCGATTTGGGCATTACAAGTAATTAAGATGATCGTTTAGATTGTGTTTTTAAACACAGCAATAATTCCTAAGTCCAAATAAACACAAAAAAACAGAATATTAATTTGTTTAATTTTCCAATATTATTTTTAACAAATTAAATTAATTATTTACAACTAAAGTGCTATTGGATAGTTAGGACAAACATACAAAATCTAAAGTAGTTGCTCGAAATGTAAACCCAATTGTTCAATACACAATCGATCTACGAATGATCGAACGTGGTATAGCATTATTCAAATAAGGCCTTATTTCATCACATGCATTCCTGATTTTGTCTATTAGCATATCTCTTGTGGTTACGGGAGTCTGGTACACTTTTTCTTTTAGAAATCCCCACACAAAGAAATCTATTGGATTTAGGTCAGGGGATCGTGGAGGCCAGGCGACTGGTCCTCCAGGGCCGATCCATCTTTCTGGATAATTTTCGTCCAGCCAGTTTCTAACTATTCTCGAATAATGAGCTGGACAACCATCAATCTGGAACCAGGTCAATCTTCTTAAATCTAACATAACATCATCCCACATATTTGCATGTTCAAATTCCAAAAAGGTCGCAGCATTTAACCTTGCAGGCAAAAGGTAGGGTCCAAATAGTCGATTACGGTAGATACCAATCCACACGTTCACACTAAATTCATGCTGAAAATTTCTTTCCCGAACTGCATGCGGATTTTCATGCGACCAAATATGTTGATTATTAAAATTTACCACTCCACGTCTAGTGAATCATGACTCATCGGTCCATAAAATGTTACTTAAAAACTCCCTATTATTATCAGTTCTATCAAGAATCCACTGACAAAATTCTTCGTTCTCCGTCCCCTGGCTGTAGTCCTTGCACAGGTTGCAAATGGTAAGGACGTCTATGGTCATTTCTAAGAACACGGTGAACATGGCTTGCTGAAATTCCCAAGGCACCAGAAACTCTCCTAACACTTGTGGTCGGATCCCTATCAAACTCACGCAGAATCATACGGGTAAATCTGCGCTGACGAACATTTATGTTTTGATCCCTTTGGAGATTTCCAAAACCATTTTCAATTATTTGGCGATGCACTCTTACAAATACTGAGCGAGTTGGATGTCGTCTGTTTGGAAATATTCGTGCGTATTCTCTGGCTGCTTCTGCTGCGTTTCCATTTACAAAGCCATACACAAAATGAATATCCGCTAACCCTTGATTGGAGAATAAAAATGGCATTTTTATAAAACTTAAAAAAAAAAAACAGGTAAAAGAAACTAAATTTCGTGCATTCACAATTGCAAAAAAACGTTTCAGGTTTCAACAGACAACAAAACTATCTGTCAACTAATTGACGTTTAACCTTATTCTGCTTTCAATTTCAAAAATATTTGCAGGCACAGCCTACTTCTAAAAATTATCGAGATACTGACTTTTTAACGTTATTTTATCATAAATAATTAAAAATGCATCGAACCTTAAAAATCTAAATATCTCAAAAACGGCTAACTATAACGAAAATTCACAAGAGAGCTTTTTTATGTTGAAACGTGCAAAGAATCAGTTTTTTTGTTCAAAAAGCAAAAAATTGCACTAAGTAAAAATTTCCGGTCATTTTAATACACTACAGGTACAGTAGAGAGCGCCCTCTAGCGGCTACAGTAAAACTATGCCCATGGTTCGTTTTGCCGTACCAAAAAACCCTTGTACACCAATTTTCACTGCTATACATCAAATATTGTTCGAAACATTTAAAAAAAACTATTTTAGAAAGTAAACTTAAACACCCTGTATTTCGGAAGCCACGCATTTTTCGACCCCTGTTTATATAGACTTAATGCATTAATTTTAAAAGTTCTATCGAATCTTAAAGTTATGCAACAATAAACTGAAACACCCTGTATAACTTTAGCAAGATAGTCATATTAATGTCATTTATTGCTCATGATTAAAATAATACTTATTAATATGTCACATATTTTAATTTTTTGATATTTTTAAAGTAAATAGGGGAAACCTGGACAAAGCAAACACCCAGGAAAAATCGAATTTCCCGTTTTACATCTAAACAAAAAAAAATGTTTTGGAAGATAGGTGTTGTGCATGTAGTTCCATTCTTATACTATTCATACGAACATCTTTTCAAATTCTTCAGCATTAGTCTTTGGTTTTGGTAGGAAACAAGAAATTAAAAGTGGATACTCGTATTTTGGTGCATATACGAGCCCCTTCCCACTTCAGTTGGCCCACTTCAAGATTTGTACCAAAATACGCCTTTATAAACTAAACATGACGAAACTATTTACTTCTAAAACAATTTATTTTCTCAAAAACATTTTAGATACACTCTAGTCGTAAAAAATATATATTTGAAATCACTTAGACCTATAACTAATAGAACATCTGAACAAATAAACAATGTGCGAATAAATGTGCGAAGTGAACAAAGCAACAATTGAAAGATTGCCATTGGTAACATCACCTTTATTTTTTATTACGGCTGAAATTCTTTGGGGCATAGTGTAAACCAAGTTTTGGCAAAAATTTGGTGTAAAACAATCTCATATTTCTTGAAGCTTTTGTCTCAGTTCGGTGATTGTACGAGCAGGATGTTGTCGTAGAACCTTTTTTATCTCGTGCCACAATATTTCAATAGGTGACGATTCTTCTGGCAGATGTGAGACGGGGTTGTGGGCGTATGCTAAGGAAGTGTCGCTGCATCAAGTATGAACATCATCCTAGACATGTTAACAATATTACGGAAGCCGACTGTTATCTAAAACCTGTCTACGAGCCCCTTCCCACTTCAGTTGGCCCATTTCAAGATTTGCACCAAAATATGCCTTTATAAACTAAACATGACGAAACTATTTACTTCTAAAACAATTTATTTTCTCAAAAACATTTAGATACACTCTAGTCGTAAAAAATATATATTTGAAATCACTTAGACCTATAACTAATAGAACATCTGAACAAATAAACAATGTGCGAATAAATGCGCGAAGTTAACAAAGCAACAATTGAAAGATTACCATTGGGTAACATCACCTTTATTTTTTATTACGGCTGAAATTCTTTGGGGCATAGTGTTAACCAAGTTTTGGCAAAAATTTGGTGTAAAACAATCTCAGATTTCTTGAAGCTTTTGTCTCAGTTCGGTGATTGTACGAGCAGGATGTTGTCGTAGAACCTTTTTCATCTCGTGCCACAAAGTTTCAATAGGTGACAGATCTGGACTGCTAGAAACCCATTTCAAAAGTGGTACCTTATTTTCTACCATCCATTTTATAGCCTTTTTTGAGGTATGGCACGCTGCACCATCTTGCTGAAACACAAAATCTTGGCAGGATGTCAAACATTCTTCCATCACTGGTAAAAGCGATTCTTCTAAAATTGTCAAATATTTGTTTGTATCCACATTGCCATCAATAAAATGAAGTTTTCCTACTCTTTTTGATGACATACTGCCCAGACCATAATGGATGCTGGAAATTTCACTTTTCTCTTCAGACAGTCACTGCGACTGTCACCAACACAAACTTAGAATCGGGCCTCATCATTCCATTGTATTGCACACCATTGTTGAGGTGTCCATTGTCTATGTTCTTTAGCCTATTTAAGCCGATTTTTCTGTTGCAGTGGAGTTAATAGTGGCTTTTCTTTGGCCTATAAACAAGTTGGGCAACTTTAGGGTTTTACTTCACTTTTTTTTTTATAAGAAAACTTACCTTGCAAGTGCTAAATCCCAGTTTGTGGGCCTCTCTATGAGTTGTGGACCTCGAAATTCTCCTACAAGTAGCCGCGCAGGCGGAAGTCTAAATACCAGGGCACCGCAGCTGCTAAGAAACATTGTTAATCTGATTTTGAAATTGCCTAAGCTTAGTAGAACTGAAAAGTCTCCTAAGTAGATTGTTTCACAATCTTGACACCCTAGCAACAAAGGAGCAGTGATATGGTCCAGTTCTGGTGTAAGAAGTTCGACACGGTTAGGATGAGAGGCCGAAGTCAGGCGGGTCTGTCTGGCAGGCACATCGCGCGGCGGCATCATGGACGAGAGCTCTGAGGAGCAAAGCCCGTTGATACAACGGTAGAAGAGAGTTAGATCGCCAACGGCTCGTCGGCGCGAAAGGGTCCCGAGACTGTTGGACAGCCCTCCGCTACCCAGCATCGAGCATGGATAATTGAGTTGGGGCGGCAGCACCCCAAACATGTGAGCAGCACTCGAGGCTAGTTCTTGTCTAGGCCTTTGATAGAGTGAGGAGGTTATGTGGGGAAAAGCACATCTTTGCGCTAAACAAATAGCCTGGCAGCAACAGCCGACATTATTAACGAGATGTGTACATGTAACATCAAGTCCTCGGTGATCTGGACTCCGACTAGCTGAAGTGAACGTCTCTTTGGTTGAACTCGGCCATCCATCAGAACCCGTCAATTACGACGGATATCTTGCGGCCAGAGGCGAAGTCGTCCACCCATCTGCAAAGCTTCTCTGGGAGGCCCTAGGTTTTCGTGATATCAGTAATTTAATACTCGGCAAAACCGGGTACTCAGTGAAATGCGGTGAGTATGCCGAGTACCGGGTATAAATCGAGTACTCGGTGCATCGCGAACGTAGAGTTCGAAGTTAGATCATGAATTCCGTAGGACAAGCCAATTATAAAAAACTCAACTTTCAAAATAGTTAAAAAAGTTCTCTATTTTGGGCTTCCAAAACTATAGATACCAATGATTACTAATAATTATGAAACAGTTACTTGAGGGGTGGGAAGCTTACGACTAAATAAAATTTGTTTTGAACTCAAAATTACTTTATTAGAACAATTTGATTTCTTTGACACACATTGCGTTAGCAGCATTATCATATTGTATTGATATTGTAGCGTTTTTCTGGGTTCTTTTGGGTGTGGATTAAGGCACTGGATTCCACAAAAAGAAATGCACTAATTTATTTAACTCATTTATGACTTAAGGCGAGAATACACATGCCAGTAAAATAGCATGCCAGTGGCCAGTAACTTGTATGCTAACTACTTGTCCTACGACATCCCAAAATACACATGCTAGTTTTGGATATGCCAGTCTGTGAACACTTTTTTTTATCTTCTTTAACTCTTGGTGGTAGGTTGTTCTTAGGTTTTTTATCTTATTTTTCATAAATTTCAATGTTAAATTGTTGTCAGTCATTTGCTTCAATAAAGACTTGTAAGCATTGTCTCTAGCGATTTTATTTTTATACAATGGAGATCATGTATTCCATAAACGCGGATACTCCCTATACTGCATAACAAACAATAAAGTCTCCCCAACGAGCTGGCAAAGAAAGTCACACATGCAAGTAGCACGCACAATCCAGTAACTGGCATGCTTCTGTGCGTGTAACAAGCATGTGTATTCTCGCCTTTTTATTCTAGATCTAGAAGGCGAGTAACTGGCACGTTCCTTACAGACGTCGCCAAGCGGCTTGGGCGGTCGTGGTCCGCGTAAAAGCAGAATGCCAGGAAGCTCTGGCGAGTAGGAGTCTCCCAAAAGACCGCGCCAACACTACTATTTATTATCGTCACAATATGATTGTCCTACGGGCCTTAGTGTTACATGCAATATTACACAAAATATTTTCTTATAGACTGCACTGTGAAGGCTGTATCAATTGGTTTTATACATTTGTATATTAACTCAGTTTTGAAGCAACGTCGAACAACTTAGACATAAGTGCGAGTGTAGTCATCAAAGTAGTTCAGGGTGTCCCGAAAAAAGTGTGTAATATTCTACCAGCGGTTTCTAGAGCTTGAAATAGGAAGAACAGATTATATAAACATAGGTCGACAAACGTCCCCTAAGGGCGCTACGATCTTTTGAAGGGGTTCCCCTGAAGATGGTTTTTCCTTAATATTTCCGAAACGTGTTGAGATAAAGACATAAAATTTAGTATTCTAGCCTAGTTTTTTATGCTGGATTTAAAAATATTAACAATTTTAGACAGTTTTGTTTGGGACGGACTCAGGTTATTTGAGCCCCAAAATTTTTGTGTGATTCTATTTTTGAAATTCAATTTTAGAATTTGAATATTCAGGGTTTTCTACATAAAAAAGGTACTCTTATTGAATATCGATAAACTGTGCCATTTTTGAATAAAATCAAACTAAAAAATTTGTCACATGATAGGAAATGCACTGCGAATTTAAATGAATTGTTGAATAATCAGCTATGGCAACGAAAACACTAATTTAATAATTGGTAAATATTACATAAATATATATTTCTATTGCAATATAGCTAACATTTAGACAGAAACAAAAGAAATAATTTTTTTCTATGAACGAAATTGAAATTTGTTTAAAAAAGAAGACATACAGTTGGATATACTTAAAACTAGCTTTACAATAAGTGTTCAAATGAATTCCCATTTTGTTGGATACAGAGTCTCGCTCAACGAACTAATGATTGCGTACCCCGAAAAGTGGAAAACTTTTTTCTTCTTTTTCATTTGCAGTCTGATGGATCCTTTGAAGTAAATCTTCTTGAGTATTTACTTTAGTCGAGTAAACTAGGTATTTTAATGACTCCCAAAAATAGAAATCCAATGGATTTAGGTCAGGTGAACGTGGCGGCCACGCTATAGGACCTCCTCGGCCTAACCACCTGTCTGGAAAATTGACATTCAACCAATTTCGAACATTGCGTCCAAAATGTCCAGGGGCGCCATCATGTTGAAAAAACATATTTTCTTGAAACTGCTGGCGCACATCCAATGGTATTATATCCATGAGCTCATTCTGAAGAAAGTTCAGATACACCTCTGAATTAAGACGATTGGGAAGTACAATAGGCCCAATTACTTGATCCCCAATTACTCCTGCCCATAAGTTCAATGAAAACCTATGTTGGAAACTTGTACGGCGAACAACTTTTGGATTTTCATCTGACCAGTGATGCATGTTATGGAAATTAAAAGCACCATTCCTAGTAAATATTGACTCATCCGCCCACAATATTCTAGGAATAGTGTTTTCATTTGCTAATATCCACTGGCAAAAAGTGGTAAAAAATCTTCCTCCGTTAAATGTTGCACCCCTTTAAAATGATCAGGATGTAATCCTTGCATTCTTGTCATTCTTCCTATCTAAAATTATTGTTTTTAGGATAACTATCAAATAGCTATTCATAAATTTTTCTTACTATTGATCGAGGTATATCCATAATTTCTGAAACATTTCGTATGCTTATTTGCGGATTATTTTCAAACATATTTAAAGCAATATCCATACGATGATTTCCCAGTGGCATTCCTGAGCCCTGCATGCGCTGAAAACTTCCATGGTTTGACAAATTCCGGTGAATATTAGTAAACATTCGACGTCCAGGTACTATGCGATTGGGAAATCTTCTTTGATATCCTTTTACGGCTGCCAATGAACTGCCATTGCAAAACTCGTACACAAAATGCATGTGAGTCAGTTCTCTGTCTGTAAATCTTGGCATTTTAAATCGATTTAAAAAAATTTTGATTTTAATCTAGTAATTTTACACTGCTAACAATGTCAGCTTAACGTCAAAATAAGTCATAACAAATCAAAACAACTTTTGTTTGCAGTCATGGCTAACTATGTATAATCAACAATTCATTTAAATTCGCAGAACATTTCCTATCATGTGACAAATTTTTTAGTTTGATTTTATTCAAAAATGGCACAATTTATCGATATTCAATAAGAGTACCTTTTTTATGTAGAAAACCCTAAATTTTCTAATTCTAAAATTGAATTTCTAAAATAGAATCACACAAAAATTTTGGGGCTATAATAACCTGAGTACGTCCCTGTTATATACGCTTCAAAACAAAACTGTCCAAAATTGTTAACATTTTTAAATCCTGCATAAAAAACTAGGCTAGAGTACCAAATTTTATGTCTTTATCTCAACACGTTTCGGAAATATTAAGGAAAAACCATTTCTTCCTATTTTAAGATCTAGAAACCGCTGGTAGAATATTGCACACTTTTTTCGGGACACCCTGTATACAATTCTACGGAATATTCACGGGTATTGGGTGATTGAATAAAATATGTTTACAATGACAATGTACAGTGACTAAGAAGTAAGCTAAAACTATACTACGAAAAACCGAGACAGACAGTTACTTCCGAAATTTATCTTGTATGTCACTGATTCATCGGCTACTTTCTGTCTGTCTTCTGGAAATTATTTAAAAATAAATTTCTAGTTTATGATTTAAAAAAGGAAGCTTGTATTTTTTCGAAAAGACACTCATGCTAGTAGGGATATCAGTGAAGCTCCTTAAGCAGGATCTGTGTACAATTG